TTTATCACTAATCATTAGATATGATTTAACACTAATTAAAATACATGTGAACTAACAGATCCATTGGGAAATGCATATTTTTGCAATGAATATTTATAAAATCAAAGGATTTAATCTATATCATATTCAAATTTTTCTCACCCCTTCAAGTTTTCATTTTCACATTGAAAGTCGAATTAAAAATCTCCGTGAAAAGGTTTTTGTTATTTTTATGAGGTCTTGATATAAGGTTATTGAATTAAAGACTAAAGATAAAGAATGTATATTAATTGTTTTTGAGTTTATAAAAATTATGTTCTATAAATGCTTTGAGGAAAAAATGGTAAACGCTTTTTGAATTATCAAAAACATATTACTCTAAAAAACAAATACAAAAATTAAAATTTACTCAATAATATTTAGTGCTACTCTTAATATTTTAAATTTTAAATTATTATTCGATTCTTAATAGAAAAGTTTGTTTTAAAGTTCAAATAGAAAATAATAAATTTAAGTTTGTCTTTTTCAGAGAGAATTCCCTTTAGTGAATATTGTAGTAAAGTGAAAATATAAATGTTTGTGGTAATCGAAATCTAACAACAGAGAAATATCAATTTATTCGGTAAAAATAGTACAAGCAATACATATTTCAAGCACTTTTCGAGATTGAGACACAATGATTCCACAAGTCAGCACTCTTCTTCAAGTATTCTGTTTCGTGGGCAATGAACATGGGTTTATCTGCAATATATTTAATAAGCATATCGTGACACACTTTCCCTTATTTGACGAGATCGTTGCAACAAGGATCAGAGATGGTTCCATTTTCAAAGACAACACCGATTATATCCAACGCACACTTAGGAGTGATTTTTACAAGACAAGTATTCCATAATGATTTTGCTTCAGCTTCTTCGACTGAGAAAACCGGAACAAACACACACACCAAAGCTACAACGATGAATAGCGTAGTAATTTGAGAGCTAAATTTAGACATATCTACTTACGCTTGAAATGTACAAGAATTATTCTTATTTTATGAAAAACAAATGTAAGAAACAATGATTTGTATCTGTTATTTGAAATATGAAATTATCTAACCTATATATAGGTCATTGAAATTATAACGTAACTATCAAAAAAACTATAAACTTAGCGTAATATTTAATGGCAATTAAAAATTTTGACAAAAAAAAAGGGGAGAACGACCTGTGTCCCCCCACGAAGTTTCATATAATACCATAACAACATAGATTTCGGGTCTCGTCTCCAGTTCACACAAAACGAAAGTTAAACTCCAGTTTCTCCCTAAATTGAAAGTTGGAGACGTCAGTTTTCATAATTCAAATTTTGTGGTTTATCATTGGTTTACTGTGCCGGAAACACTATTAACCGCTTAACATCGAGATTAAACCGGATTTACCCAGAAACCAACCCGATTATTAGACCCTTAAACCCGGATAATCCCCAAATTGAACCTTAGAACCCTAAAATCAAAAAATCCCCAAATTGATGGATTCGAATATCTCTCTTGTTGAAGCCTCAAATCGAAGAGTTCGTTTGATTTGATCTGTAATTGGAGGAAAGGTTTTTTGGTGATGGTGTTTGAGATCTAATGGTTGGGATTTGTTGCGGTGTTGTTAGGGAGAGTGATCAGCGGCACTGATTGATCCAACTACTTGAGCTTTCAATGGTAAATGTGAACTGATTTTAATTGAGACTGAGACTGTTTGCGAAATTTGATTTCAGTTTAACATCAATTCCAAATCTGAAAGTTGTTTCTCATGTGAATTGATGTTAATTAAGAAAAAAATTGATTTTGAGTTTGATTTGAATTTGCGAAATTCACATTTAACATCAATTCGAAATCTGGGTTTGATTAACATCAATTCACATGGAGAAGATTTTACAAATTTATTAATTTGTTTATTGTTCTTAAATTTTTTAGAAAAAATCTGGCATTGGAAAGGGAAAAAGGAAGAAGACGAAAGGAGGTGTATTTCTTTTTAATTTTTTTTTTAGTTATTATTGAAACATTCCGAGTCCATTAGAAGGTTTAGATCATATTATTAAACAATAACATTCCGTTTGGTTTGGTTACAAATCGGTTTATTATTTTGGGTTTTGGTTTGGCATCGGGTTTTGCATAGTAAACCAATGATAAACCACGGAATTTGAATTTATGGAGACTGAGGTCTCGAACTTTCAATTTAGGGGGAAACTGGAGTTTATCTTTCGTTTTGTGTGGATTGGAGACGAGACCCGAAATCTGTGTTGTTATGGTACTATATGAAACTTCATGGGGGGACACAAGTTGTTCTCCCAAAAAAAAAGACTACAAAACTTAAAGTTAATGGTTTCTATCAACGTTTCAAATATAACAAAAAAAAACTAAAGACAAGTACTGATATCCAATTCAATATAAGAAACAGATGATTAATTTTAACTTATTTCGATATTCTAAACCAAATTAATAATGAGTATGAGGTTCAAATTGACATATATAGTTTTAAGCCAAATAAATTAAATGGACTAACTATTTATAATTATAAAAATAATTAATTATTAAAATTTTAAAAGCCTAACTCATATTGTATTTGAAAACTATTATTTTATTTATATAAAAAATCATTTTCCTCACAATACATTTAATCAAAATAACTAATAAATGTTAGTAAAAGTTTATTCGACATACAACTTATTCGAAGGTTTTCAAAGTTTTTATATGCTGATATGAGATCTACAATAGCAAATAATTAAATTTAGAATATCATATATAGTTTTGTTAATAGATACTCCCTATATTCCTAGAAGAGTGATGTTTTGAGTTTTACACACTAATTAAGAAAAAATCATTTTTATATTTTTATATTTTTTTATTATTAGTTTAATAATATTAATTTTATTTCTCTCTTTTCTCTATTGGTCACAAATAAAAATAGTAATGATGCTATTACAAAACATCAATCTTTGTGGAACAAGAAAAAAAACCCAAAACATCAAATATCTAGGAACAAAGGGAGTAAATGTTAAAGAATCAACTATTATAACTAAACAATAGCTATTATATAACAGTATATTTAAAAACATATCAGTTAAAATTGCATATCAGTAAAAAAATTATAGAAACAAATAACCCAAAATGGTGAAACATCGATCTTTTGAAAACAATTGAATCCTAACATATCAAAAGATACATGATAATTAGAATCTCATTGTTACGATATGTTAAGATTATATACTACTACGTAGAATCTAATCAATTGGTTTAAATTTATAAATTAACAAAAGATTCAAGGTGAATGGTAAAGGTGCTTATATAAATATCTAACTAGTTTTTATCACTAATCATTAGATATGATTTGACACTAATTAAAATACATGTGATCTAACAGATCCATTGGAAAATGAAATGCATATGTTTGCTATGAATATTTATAAAATCAAAGGATTTAATCTATATCATATTCAAATTTTTCTCACCCCTTCAAATTTTCGTTTTCACATTGAAAGTCGATTTAAAAATCTCCGTGAAAAGGTTTTTGTTATTTTTATGAGGTCTTGATATAAGGTTATTGAATTAAAGACTAAAGATAAAGAATGTATATTAATTGTTTTTGAGTTT